CACATACACACAAGTTTGCTGCTGCTGCTGATGGCTGCTGATGCTTAAACGAATGCTGCTAACACGAAAGCGAGAAAAAGGAAGAAAATATAAAAGCGAAGATGCGTTTTTCGAACTAAAGATTCGGTCTCGCGAGGATAAGAGGAATAAGCGTGGAAATAAAGGAAGTGTAAAAACACCGCGCGTTATTCGCATAAACGTGCTCCTCCCCGCCTTACACTTTGTTCTCTTCTTCTTATTTTTATTCTTATTCTTCTTCTCCTTGTTACGTTTGATTCCTCTTTTGAATGATGATCGTGTCAGTACGTGCTAATTTCTCTCTTCTCCTTCTATTTATCTGGTCAAACTCGGTGACGATTTACATCTACATTCGCGCGCGTGATCACACCGATGATAAAACTCTCTTTCTCAACTACGAAGGCACGCACGCACGTACGTACTACGAACGCACGTACGTACCTTACAAACTCCTACCGCGACCGCTGTCAGCGAGCAACTAAACAAATGCAATACCAAACATCTCCCCACTACTTCCATTGCAGCGTGATCTACCAATAAGAGTGGGGATATCGTCTAGTGGGAATATGCTCCGCCCACAGTCTCCTATTCAACGAGGCGCGGAATTTCGAATCTTTTTATCGATCATCCATCCCCGTCTTATTATCCTATCATTTAGATTATCATTATTTCGATTATGTTTGATTTTATCTTTTGATATATAAATAACTTAATTGATATGTTTTATTTAATATTAATATTTCTATTACATCGATATTTGTCTATTTAATTAATAGATCAGCTAATATGATGTTAATCAAACCTTACTTATATTGTTTCCCAAATTACATGTTTAATGCAACAGAGGTTATTTATTATTAATTAAGGTAATTAAAATGAGATTTTATCTATGATTACTGTTCCGGTAATATCGCATTGATATCGAACGTCGATAATGATGCATTGTATTCGCATCAGAGAATACAGAAGTACATAGAAGCTCAAAAGTCCCCTTTTTTATCTACCCAGATTCATCTTAGTTACTACCGGGAACACCAGTGGGCGACAGTAGATACATACCGCGATGACGGTACAATACTATCAAAGAAAACAGTATTCTTTGATAGTATATGATAGTATATGTTATATTCTTTATAATAGTATACATAACTATATTTTTATTGTGATAGACATTTAAATAATTATTTTAAATTTTTAGTGTATAAACATGTGTGTGCCTTCAGAAATGCATTTATATATATATTTTAAAAGGCAGCCACTTAAGCTGCTCAAGTTGAAGAAAATTAAAAAGGTTTGTTGTTTAATCCAACGATGATCACCTGTAACAATAAGAAAACTATATTAATCATACAATCAAGTAATACAATAGCCTAACATATAAGTGGTCCAATTCACAGGTGCACTTCTCATTTAAATTCCCTATTTATTTTTATCCAATCTCTATTTACCGTTTGTAAAATAAATTTAAATTTAAACGTATGATTTTACATTAACAAAAATATAATTAATTAAGAAATAGTAAAAGTACAAATATTATAATAAGTTACATATAAAAATATAATATCTATTTTTTAATTATTATAAAATACTTTTAAACTATACGTTAC